TATGCTATGGAGGTTGCACTTCAAACGTCTATATATAGGGAAACAAACAGTGCTTCAGCAGTCTTTCTGAACATACCAGTGTCCTTAAATCATCCACCAGTTTTGTCAGCCATCACTGTACCTGCTCAATGAGATCACAGTCATTCCTCATTCAGAGCACCTATGGAGGCATTCCGTATTTTATATACGGCCTGATAGACACACCAACGATAAAGGCAAAGGGTTGATACGGGAAGACAAGGAAGCATCCCTATTCAATTGGATGGTGTTCGCTGTCTCCTGCCCCATATATTTTGTTAATACCTGTAAAGGCGCGCCTTTCGAATTCGGTTTCGAATTTTCGACCTCCGAGGGATTTGCCTTTTCTGGGATTTCTGCCTACTGGACGCATCGCCGGCCCATTTGGATTAGGAAATTGAAGCTTAATCAGCAATTCCTCTAACGATCCACACGGAACTCCGACAGAACTTCCTTTGGAACGACCATACTCCTTCGTATCAATTCTCTGCCAACAGCACCCCAGGACTCTCCTGATCCAAGAGCGGCTGAGTCGTTTGCTATTTGCTTGATATTGATGGCTTGGTTAAAAAGCTTCTCATACACCTTTAAATACTTCGTGCCGTACCTAGAATACCTTGCATATCCTTCGAATTAATAATGGGAGTCGACAAAACACCATCAGGACAATGTGCAATAAACTCGCCCCAAGTGGGATTCGAACCCAGGTCCCGTCGTAGGGTGAGAAGCGTGATCGCCACTACACTATCGGCGCACGGCAAACGGACTGAAATAAATAATAGAGTAAACATTATTCGTAGTACAAATGACTGTAACTCTTTATATATCGCTGTTAAGTCACCTCCCGCTAAACGAGCAAGGAGCCTAGTAAGTTGTATGGATATCAAATACGAAGACGAAGCCTGTACGACATGTTTCGGACTCCTTCAAAAATTTGCGGAAATGGAGAGGGAGATAAAGGGCCTTAAAGTGGAGATGGAGAAGCTGAGGAATCTCCCTCGCTATTCATCCAAAGAGAATGAAAGCGAGCGAACTTACGCAAACACGGCTTCCTCGGCTGTGTCGACGGAGGAGAAAGAAAATAGTAGGTCGCTAGAGCTTGATAGGAATGACACCCAGTGTCTTGTGCGAAAAAAGCGCGGTCAGACGCGATCTCAGCGAGCAAAAAGAAATCTCAGGGTACCTCAAAAAGGCACAGAGAGTCAGACGAGGGAACAAGAGCTGGCTACGCCGCACACGAAAATCGCGCCGCTGAAAACGAAAACTGATCAAAAGATCGTAATAAACAGGCAGTCATGCGTTAGTCCTGCTGAATCAAACCTTCCTAAATCGGTGGAAGGTTGTAGCCGGGATGCACGCGATGAAGACTCTGTAGGTATGATTATACCACAAGGCCGTCTAGTTGATCGCAGTAAATGCATCGTTATAAAGGGCATGCCTGAGTCTGTTTCCGACGCTTCAAAGGACAGAATACAACATGACATAGAAATATTCCAGGAATATCTCAAATCGGTCTTAATAAGAGACGAAAAAGTCACAGTATTAAAGGCTTTCAGGATGGGCAAAATTAAAGACTCAAATCAAGTTCCAGACCGACCGAGACCGTTGAAAATTGTCTTTGAGAATGACGAACAAGCACAGCTACTTTTGAGCAGGAAATCTGCGCTTAAACACGCCCATCCATCAGTTTTTTTTTCAGCAGGACTTTTCACCCGCGGAGCGAGAAAAATGGAGGGGGCTCAAATTGGAAGTCCTCAGGCGGTCGAGCCTGGGCGAGACAAATCTCCGAATAGTGGACGGAAAAATTATACGCGTCCAGAGGCCATTCCTCTGGAGAAAGCCCATAACTCTAACAGCTTAGGAGTGATGGAAAGCAGTTCATCCCGATCAGCTCCGACCGGCTTTTGCATTCAATCCCAAGAAATGGATAAACGCCTGTATGCCGGAGTTGCTCGTGCCAAATTGAGATTTTTGTATACCAATGCTCAAAGTCTCGTTTCGAAAATCGACGAACTCAAAGCGAGAGTACCGGAACAAATCCCCGACGTCATCGCCATAACGGAAACTTGGCTTAATGCCGAAATCATGGATGCTGAGATTTCGATACCGGGTTACCAGCTGTTTCGTAGAGACCGTCAAAATAGGCAGGGCGGAGGGGTAGTCATATATGTAAGGGAAGGAATTTCAGCAGTTGAAAGAGCCCACACCCTATCCCTTGAATATGAATCCGTCTGGATAAAGATAAAGAAGAGCAATGCACAAAATCTAGAATTTCTGGCGATTTACAGACCACCAAATCTTCTGAGTGCAGCTGATGAGTCGCTCCTTGGTTTAGTCAAAGACGTAGCTAGCCACCAAGAGGTACTTATTGCTGGGGATTTCAACGCACCTGCAATAGAGTGGGAAACTATGGCAGTTAATGGTGGACCAGCCTCTTTCAGCAATAAGCTACTGGACCTCACACTCGATCTCCCTCTGGCGCAACATGTGAAGGTACCAACAAGATTTCGAGAGAACCAGAGAGCAAATTGTCTAGACCTAGTTTTCACTAAGGACTTCTCTAATATCGACGAAGTGTATTCCAATGCACCTCTCGGGAAAAGTGACCATACCACGCTATTATGGGATTACTCGCTCTTCTCTAAACGCCAGAAGAGAACAGAGGGCCAACCTAATATATGGAAGGCAGATTTTAATATGATGAAGAACGAATTGCTGTCCGTGAATTGGGACCAAATATTCAGGGGAGATCCGGAGGACGACTGGAGATCTTTTAAAACGATTTCACTCGATCTGATTAGGCGCTGTTGTCCACCTAAAGTACAAAAAACAACTAGTCGACCTGCTTGGTTAACTAGGGACCTAAATAAGCAGCTACGGAAGAAAAGCAAAAGATGGAAAATATTCAGGGAAACTGCGTCACCAGCGCATTTCGAAGAATTTCGTCGTCAACGAAACGCCGTCAAAAAATGTATCCGTCAGGCACGGAAGGAGTATGAATCCAAAATTATACGACAGGCTGAACAGAAGCCTAAGATTTTATTTCACNCTCAACCGCCTAAACAGTTGGTCAGCTCGCTGGCTCCGCAATTTTAATGTGGACAAATGTGTGGTCCTGAGACTCCGCACCAGACAGACCAGTAAGGAGGACGATTCCTTTCAATATGTCCTTGGTGGTCAGTCCCTTTCAACTGTTGTGGAACAGAAAGACCTGGGAGTCCTAATGACCTCCTCGCTGAAACCATCTTCACAGTGTCAAAGGGCAGCCAGAAGTGCGATAAGGGTGTTATTTGCGCTGAGGCGAGGATTTGTGCAGATCGACAAGGAGCTGTTCGGAAACACCTATGGGGCATTCGTCCGGTCTCACTTAGAGTATGCAGTCCAGGCCTGGCGACCGTGGTTACAGAAAGATTATCAAAGACTGGAAAGAGTACAGGCGATGGCTACGAAGATGGTCAAGAATCTTCATCATTTGCCTTACGAAACCAGGCTGACTGAACTAAATCTGTTTCCTCTAAATTACAGGCAACTGCGCGGCGATCTCATTCAAACCTACAGGATTGTCAGAAGCCGAGAGTGTGTCCTAGATTTTGATGAATTCTTTGAATTGGCCCGGACTGACCGTCTGCGTGGTCATCCGTTCAAACTGCAAAGGAAGCGGGCTAATTCGGACGTCCGACGGAACGCCTTCTCACACAGGGTCATCGGGGCATGGAATGGACTCCCTGATTCCGTCGTTCTTTCCGAAAGTGTTAAATCCTTTAAGTGCAGACTAGACGCTCATTTGTTGAGAACCTACTGTACATACAATCATGATTGTTTTAGCGGCGGCAGTTTGCGCCTGGCTCACACTTACCGCTAACTTCTTAACTTTTCGCATTTGCTGATGTAATTGATGACTTTATTTCTGTTTATCGACATGAATAGGGTGCTCAAGGGCGAAAGCCTCATTCCCTTAATAAACTGACTTAAACTGACTTAAATTTGATATCGGTTTAATTGCTACTAAGTTTTTTTGCCGTTCAAATGCCTGCATATTTTGTGTCAACTTCTTTCAATAGGCCTCGGTGTTTGCAGTCTTGTTGCTTCGACAAATGTGTTCGACAATCTTCCAAGCTCAAGACTACATGTATGAATACATTCAATGTTAGAAACTACTTGGCGAACCAGGTAGTCAAGTTATTTACGCTCTCCTATAGTCCCTGTGAGCCGTCAGGAAATCTGATTTTGTTACAGATTTTTATATCCCTCGCGAACAATGCGGGCTCACAGTCCGGATCTTCATTATGGTTGTTTATATAAATGAGAAAAAGAAGGGGACCTTATACTGATCCGCGCCGTACACCGCTTTCTAATGGTACCCCTTCCGATGCCTTTGTGGCAACAATTACTCTTCGCGGCCTCAGTGATGTGAAACTTTTGACGGAATTCAAAATGTTGCTCTGCATCCCACACCGTAAAATCTTTTGTAGAGCACGCCGATGAAGCAAGCTATCAAATGCCTTCTTTAAGCCACAGAAGGCAATGCTCAGTACATAGCTCTTACAGCTGTCCCATAGAAACTGTCAAATCAGCCCTGTGGACGATGATGAGCTGAATCCCAACCCCTCTTAATACCCTGACCCACCTTATTGCCTAACCGTCCCCGAGAGCACCCCCTTTAATACAACCGACATTGCCACCGCTCGTAGTCGTCGTCATATACAATCCCGACCGTTATATTGCTTATTTTTTGGCATCACGCTTAACCTACAGCGAAGTTTGAGCTCCGAAATTCGGTTTGGCCAGAGAGCACTAGGCGACCATGTTGCTCTCTGTATCAGTAAAGAGCCTTTATATTTATTTCCTTTGAAGAAGAAGAAGCAGAAGGTGGGTTCACCGGAACAGGTTTATTAGGATGCTGACGTTTCGAAGAGCTTGGTCGGCTCTCCATTGTCAAAGCGTAAAATGCACTCAATCCACCAGAGATCCCAAGTGGCGTGTCACGTTGGACGGCCTCCTGCTGGTCGATTTTTTTCTCTCTCTCTCCTCTCGCTGTCGCGGCCTATCAGGGGATGGTTGACTGGTGATTTGTCTGCGTGCATTGTGAGTCCCCATTCCGCCGGGGGGGAGGTGACTGAACTACTGTCGGGAGGGCGGTCTGGCGGTTCTTCTTCTTCTTCACCGAGTAAACTCGCCGTCGGGCTGTCTCCGTATGGCCTCCTTAAGCCCGGTGTGGTTGTTTGGTCCTGAGCTCTACGATTGTGATGACGTAGGACTTTGTAGGCTGCAGGAAGGTCCAGATGCCTGTTTGTGGAGTGGGCATCGGAGAACCACGCCTCAAAAGTTAGCCGTTCTGCTTTTGTGTTGCCCCGGCCTAAGATGGTAGCTCGCTTGAGATCGAAAGTATGCCCAGTTTCTCCATCGTGTGCTGCTAATTGAGAATTTGGGTCCAACCTCCGAGTAGCTGATTTGTGCTCTTGTAGGCGAGTCTGCAATTTCCGCCCGGTTTCTACTACATAGTTGCAGTCGCCCTCTTTGCAATTTATTTTGTAGATAACTGCAGAGGTTTCGGCGGGTGACAAAGGGTCCTTAGGTTGCATCAGACGGCGTCGAATTGTTGCCTGTGGTCGGTGGGCTATGCCTACTCTGGCCGGTTGTAACAGTCGAGAAACCGCCTCAGAGACCCCTTTAACGTAGGGAATGGCCCTCCATACTTCAGGTTGCTGCTCACTTGGCCGTCGTCTGTGCACCCGACGTCTGCTTCTCTCGATAAAATGTCTGGGGTATCCATTGGCTGCAAATAGGTTCTGAAGATACATTCGTTCGGCTCTTTTATCTTCTGGCGTGCTGCAATGTGTTTCGACTCTTTGGAATAGAGTGCGGACACAGCTACGTTTGTGAGACAGAGGATGGTTGCTGTTGAAGTGTAGGATCTGTCTCGTGGCGGTGGATTTCCGGAATACTGCGGTTTGCAGTTGTCCAGTTGTACTCCGGCGCACAAGCACGTCCAGGAATGGCAGTTGGTTGTTCGTTTCTGCTTCCATCGTAAATTGGATATTTGGGTCGACCGAGTTCAGTAGTTCCTTTAGGTGCTCAATGTCAGTTGTTTTGACAACGACGAAGGTGTCATCGACATAGCGAGCCCAGAACTTTGGTTGATACTTAGCGAACACCAAGTGTTCTATCCGTTGGAGAACTACTTCAGCGATTAGGCCTGATAGAGGGGAACCCATAGGAGTGCCTTTTATTTGTTCGTACATTTGTCCACCAAAGGTGAAATAGGTCTTGAGGCAGTATCGCAGAAGCTCGAGCAGATGTTCAGACTTCAGGGGCTTGTCCCTCTCCTCATAGCGCTCTGCCAGTAGTTGGTCCACAACGTCTATCGCTAGTTGCTGTGGAATGGAGGTGAAGAGCGAAACGACATCAAAGGATACCATGGATTCGTCTGGCTCTAACTTCAGATGCTTTATGCGCTTGAGGAATTGGTTTGCAGACGCTACTGTTGTCGGTCAGCATCCTAATAAACCTGTTCCGGTGAACCCACCTTCTTCATCTTCTTCTTCAAATAATCAACCCGGATCTCTCAACTTTGCCAATCTGAACAGAATTTATTTCCTTTGTCATACATTTTCTATCATTGTTCTTGTCCAGTCTTCAAGCCGATTTTTAGTAGACATGACGACAGTCGCCGTTCCGATTGCACTCAAAAAACCACGTGACTATTCAATGGCGGCATGTTCTTTGCCTCTTGCCTTTTCTGTCTATGGAGGTCGGTGACATCGAGAGATCTGGTGACGAGGTATTTGAGCTTGGCATAATAATGCCCGTAATTTGGCTTGGGATAGGGCTGCCAACCACTCTTGCGCAATAAAAAGTCTCTTTCAAGAAAGGTCGGGACTGTCGATGCCATAAGTGTTTTTCAAAGGAAAATGAGCAGTTATTTTGATAGAAATCGCCCTTCACAGTGAGATTACCCGTCGACGATCCCGCAGTTCATGTCGTATGTCAGTCTATCTCGCAGTGTATCAGTGCGCATATGCTGTATAATAACCTCCACTGTTCATTCGACGAGATCCGGCCACACATTCAAATTCGATGAGGCCAAAATTCTCGCAAGAGGTGACAACCGCGTGAGCCGGGAGCCACAGGAATCATGGTTTACTGGCCCCCAGTCCATCAACAAGTGCAACGATCTTCCCACTCCATACTCCGTGCTGAAACTTCGCCTAGGCGGAGTAACAAGCCATGCGGGGAGCGCAGAGGTGAACACTTTTCCCAATACCGGGGTCGATGCGTCAGATGGTCGAGCAATCATCACGCCAACATCCAACGCACGTGATGAAATTGCAACAATTATCGACTCGAATGTCGGCCATCAAGCAATGATCACACAAAGTGCGACGATCACGGATGAAGGGGGGAGCCGTGAATGTTCATAGGTATGCGGTAGCATGGCTACTGCATCCTATAAAGACCGCAGCCCCTTGTGCAACAACCACCCGTTTCTGCCTTTTTGTCTCTGAGGATGGATTCGAGTAGGAATCCGAAACTTCAGGCCAATAAAGCTCTTGTCCCGGCGATCGTGTCTCCTTCTTCAAGACTACTTCCTGGGACTCGTCTCTTCGCTTCTATTGGCAACCTCAACTGCATTACAACTGTTTATGTTCACTCCTGGCCAATTCTAAAAGCATACACTTGGAAGTGTGCCGTACTATAGTCCTGAAAAACTGCCTATAACCCTCAAATGCATACGTAGGTATGCTCATGATCTTGGATAAGGGATTTTTATAGGTGGTAAATCTATCAGGCTGGTGCTCAGTCATGACATGGGTGCAAGCCAAATACGAGGGCCTGTCTATTTCAGAATTAGCTTATAGTGAATGCAGTAAATTCTGCAAAATACTGACGTCCGCATATTTTGTGACGGCGCATTGGTTCAAAACCTACCTTTTCTTCGAAGTTTGTAATGGTGGCGATGGTGATGGCGATGATGGTGGTGATGATGATGATGACGACGACGACGACGACGACGAGGGTGACAATAATAATAATGGAAGTAGTAGTAGTAGTAGTAGTAGTAGTAGTAGTAGTAGTAGTAGTAGTAGTTATGATAGTAATAGTAGTACTCGTAGTCTAAAGATCTTATCGTCCTTCCTCAGTGGAAAGATGAACCATCGGGCCAGATCTCACTGTGTAACATGAGGAAGCCATGACTCCTTTGGGTGATGGGGAATTTCACAGGAAAGTAGAAGGACTGAGCGTCAAAAGCACGGTAACTCGACCGGACAGGCTCCCAAATTAGCATGGATGTGAAGCTTTACAATACTGAGCAAATGGCACCAGATCAAATTAACCGATACCATTCTTGGCAGATTCTGTGATATGTCGAAAAAAAGCGAGAAAAGTGTTGAGCCATACCCACCGGTTGCCTTAAAAGACAGACCACTTATAATTTGACAGAGAGAATGTACTCCAACTTCGAGTTCCCGTGCAGATAGACAGTAAGCTTGGTATAATCGGTCGTTCGGTTTTTTTGTGAGTACGAAGCGTCCAAGGCTTTAATCAGGCAATATTGTGGTGTCATTCGATACGACACGCTTGTTTGCATCCAAAATCCTGTCCCCGCTCCTCGTGGACGAATACGACGAAACTTAAAGCCTACTAAATCTGAGAGATAGCTAGGTGAATTTGTGAAAAGACGTAACCATGAAAAGGGAGTTTCAGTGGATTCCATTTTCAGTCTCGATTTGGGACCTGGTTCTTCGTTCATTAGAACTGATCGCCTTTTGTCATCATATGCATGGCTTTAGGCGTCGTTACGCCAACGGTGCGTGCTAATGTCAGGAAGGACAGGCTGTATCGTTTTCATAAGCAGCTAATTCCAGCCTTCCGCGATATATATTTCACGAGTTGGAATGAAATAGAGCGTCGGCCGCCACTTCCCGGCATACTTTTTGGGGGAAACCCTAGCAGCGCAGTCAGACAACAATATAAGAAAAGGTGATCTCGGAAAAACGGCAATATGGGCGAACCTTACTACCGGCTGTTTTGCGATTAGTTCCAGGAGCTGCCTATTCCTTACCTTAACGTTAACCATAACCCTAACCACAGTCATTGCACCAAGTCCCATAACCCTATCCTTAATTCTAACCCTGACGTTGATTCTAACACTAACCCCCCTGGGATACAGCTCAAGGCCACACGTAATACGGAGGCTCCAGGTTTCTGTGTCCAAGCAAAGGTTACAAACAGTTGCCAACTTCCCCAAACCATAGCAATCTCCCCACGGCATATAAGCGCCGCTGTATGAAAAGATTCTTCAAACAGCTCCGAAGGCATTACAGGATCCAGAAAATGTCATTTATAGGTATATTTATCGATGCCTAAAACTTTAATATTGCGCAATCCATGATTTACCTAGCGATTCGCGGAGACGCAGATACCGTCTGAAATAAATTTCGCCAATTCCCACACAATTAACCTTCCAGAACACCATAGCATGAATTGGGATGCGAGAGAGACGAGTTGATATTATTATGGGGATATTGGACCAGTGTACAAGTTAACCTCCGCAATCCTCCATTCAGCTAGTAAACGGATGTCCAGCTCACAGGGCGGCGGTAACGAATAAGTACATCCGCTCCCCCAACTGAATGGCCATAAAACAAGTTTGTTATCCATCACAATTCTTCGGTTTATGAACACACTTCGTTCTCCTGCCAGATTGGTTTCCAGTGAAGCAAATTTAGGGGTTACGGTCAGGCATGATAACAAAATTAAGATCAGGGACAAAACAAGGATCAAAAACGATCGCAACCGGAAGTACAAATCACGCTTTTGTGGCATTGACTGCATTGGCTTTAAGCAAATGGGGTATTAGCTGTTTCCACCTGTGGGTGCGTTCCAGGGGGCGTGCTTCCTTGCCACTTTAGACAGCTACTCCTGTTCGCCATGTCGCGGTGTCAACGTCGGCCTCCTTGAGATTTTTTTCAGTAGTCCTTTTGCCAAACTCCAATCCCCCACGTTCTACCGGCACTACCTCTTCTATTTGTCCACTGCTTATTCATAAAGTATGACCCTGACCATTTCGCAGACAAAGCATTACGTCAAAAAACTATACTCTCTGACATGTTTCCATGATTGATATGCTTTGGGTGACATAATTCAAACTAGGCGACCTGATCACACAAACTGAACAATCGCAAAAGAATCGTTAGTTGTAGAAAGTAAATGCAAAGCCTTCCCCAAGAATACGGAGGACAAGTTATATGAACTGTAGAGAAAGGAAATCGGACGGATACGGAGTTTCAGTAGAATATCGTTGCATAAGGTAACATCTTTAATGTACGAACCTCAGCTTCTAAATTCTGTAGGTGCTGCGAATTCAACACGTCATCTATCAAGAAATTCCAAAATACTAAAATTAGGCTTAGTGGAAATCGGCAGTTTACTGCTTGCAATCCTACAGTCCGTACAAGTGTAAGTCATGGGGAACTCCCACAAGCAGCCCATTCACGCAAGCATTTAATAGACAACTAACCTAAGTTAGCAGGTTAGATGTAGTACGAGTTAATTTTGCGTTTACCTTTCTCAACCCTCGAATTTCAACCCCGTATATTCGCGCTAAGTATACAGCTCCATTGCAGCTCAGTACATATCGCACACCCACCCTGCTCAGCCCAACTCAAACCCCGTCGTCCAGCGCGCCTACTACCGCCAGCTCCACCATCACAATCACCGATGCTGATACTGACACCTTCGATTTTCATGTCCACACTGTCCCCGTACATTCACCTCACGCATCGGCCTGGTCGGTCACTAGAGAATCCATCGCACAGAGGCTGACGAACCGATGTCTGGAGCACCAACTCGCCGCATCCGCACATTAATTCACCGTATAGGTCTATTAGGCCATATGCGCGTCCAAGAAAACCTGCGGTAGACGGCTGCCGGCTGCGTCACACCATCACATCCTCCTAACCAGCATCTCATCACATCCACCGCAAGCACCCAACCGCCACCTCTCACGCAAGTGGGAAGTGTGCGTCTAGGCCCCTTCTTCATGCGACTCCTATCCTGCGTGTGTGGTCGGAGTCTGAGACGAAACGCTGAGTCGAGCATCGTGAATCGGAAGGCAGCCGACTCAGTCCACGCAGTCCGCCCAGTTGTGTGTGTTGTGTGTTGCCTCCCAAACGGGTCATGTGGTAGATGCGCTGGGCCGAGAGGGGGGCCATACTGGAATCTAGCAGGCGTTATCGGCGTTGCACAGCATAAAAAATGCCAACATTTCAGGGTGCGGTGGCGGACCGGTTGCCGCACACACTGGGAACCTGCCACCCCCTCCCCCCATTGTTGTCCTGAATCAAAAACCTGGTTATTTGTTGTGTGGATCAGGGGTTGTGGAGTGGAACGCCAATGTGCGGACTCGACCGCGCCATCCACCTTCGGCCTCCCTCATTTTCGGTCGAACTGTCGTGTGTGTGTGTGTGTGTGTGTGTGTCTGCCCTCACACAGCGACGTGACGCGGGTGTCGCCTTTGCCATCTGGACCGATATCGTGGGACAACTGCCCTGTCTGCCGTAGGGCATCAACGATCGCCTGATGAGTCTCCGCCTGCCCCTCCGGCGAGGAGGCAAATTCGCCACCATCATCAGCGCCTACGCTCCGCCGATGAGCAGCCCCGACGCCGCCGCAAGAGACAAATTCTACGAGAACCTGCACGCCCTCTTGGCGACTGTGTCGAAGGCGGACAAGTTGATTGGCCTTGGCGACTTCAACGCCCGCGTCGGCACAGACCATACTGCCTGGAGGGGAGTGCTGGGTCCTCACGGTCTCCGCGGCTCAAACGACAACGGCCTGCTTCTCCTCCGCACCTGCGCAGAACACCGCCTCATCCTGACGAACACGTTCTTCTGTCTGCCGGAGCGAGAGAAGGCCACCTGGAGGCATCCTCGGTCGCGTCAGTGGCACCTGCTGGACTATGTCCTCGTTCGGAGGCGAGATCAGCGGGACGTGCTGGTGACGAAGGCGATCGCGGGTGCTGACGAGTGGACCGACCATCGCCTCGTCATCTCGAAGATGCGTATTCGCCTTCAGCCTCGCAGGAGACCACAAGGTAAGCGACCCCCAGGTAAGCTGAGTGTTGCTTTGTTGTCTTTGCCCGCTCATCATCTTCATTTCAGCAATGAGCTAGCTCAACGGCTAGACAACCTCCCCATCGCCGATGCCGCCGCTGCCGAAAACGCCTCCGTGGAGAACCGATGGTGCCAACTGCGAGACACGGTCCAGTCGACGGCGCTCGCCGTCCTCGGTCGCGCTCCTCGCCAACACCAGGACTGATTAGACGACAACGACGCTGCCATCAGAAAGCTCCTTGCAGAGAAGAACCGCCTACACAAAGCCTACGTAGATAACCCCACTGAGGACAACAAAGCTGCCTTCTACCGCAGTCGCCGACAGCTTCAGCAACGACTGCGCGAGATGCAGGACACCTGGACTGCTCGCAAAGCTGAGGAGATCCAAGGCTATGTGGACCGCAACGAATGGAAGAACTTCTTCTCTGCGATCAAAGCTGTCTATGGTCCGCCGACGAAGGACACTGCTCCTCTCCTCAGCGCCGACGGCAGCACTCTCCTGACTGAGAAGACGCAAATCCTACAGCGATGGGCCGAGCACTTCCGAGGCGTCCTCAACCGCCCTTCCGTCATCTCCGACGCCGCCATCGCCTGCTTGCCGCAAGTGGCGACCAACGTGGACCTCGACCTCCCGCCATCTCTCCAGGAAACGAGCAGGGCCGTGCAGCAGCTCTCTAGCGGGAAAGCACCCGGATCGGACGCAATCCCTGCTGAGGTCTACAAGCACGGAGGTCCCCTACTGATGGATCACCTGACTGCGCTCTTCCAGGAGATGTGGCGTCAAGGTGAAGTCCCGCAAGATTTCAAGGACGCAACTATTGTGCACCTATACAAGCGAAAAGGGAATCGTCAAGTCTGCGACAACCACCGCGGTATCTCCCTACTGAACATCGCCGGGAAGATCTTCGCTCGCATCCTGCTCAACCGCCTCAATAACCATCTGGAACAGGGTCTTCTGCCGGAAAGCCAATGCGGCTTCCGTCGTCATCGTGGGACCACGGATATGATCTTCGCCGTCCGTCAACTTCAGGAGAAGTGCCAGGAGATGCGGACCCACCTGTACTCTACCTTCGTGGATCTGGCGAAAGCCTTCGACACGGTGAATCGTGAAGGACTTTGGAAGATCCTGCAGAAATGCGGCTGTCCGGAGCGATTCACACAGATGGTACGTCAGCTGCACGACGGTATGATGGCGCGAGTCACGGACAACGGAGCTGTCTCAGAGGCATTCGCAGTGACCAAACGAGTGAAGCAGGGATGGGTGCTGGCGCCTACCCTCTTCAGTCTTATGTTCTCTGCCATGCCGATGGACCCCTACCGCGACGAACGCCCTGGAATCCGCATCGCCTACAGGACGGACGGTCATCTCCTGAATCACCGGCGCATGAACTTCCAATCGCGTGTATCCACAGCCACCGTGCACGAACTCCTCTTCGCCGACGACTGCGCCCTGAACACCACCTCGGAAGAGGACATGCAACGGAGCATGGACCTGTTCTCCGCCGCCTGCGAGAACTTTGGGCTGGTTATCAACACGCAGAAGACGGTGGTGATGCATCAGCCGCCTCCCAACTCAGCCACAGCCCCCAACGCGCCGCAAATCAACGTGAATGGGACTCAACTGCAAGTGGTGGAGAACTTCCCGTATCTGGGCAGTACCCTCTCCCGCAACACCAAGATCGACGACGAAGTCGCCAACAGGATCTCGAAAGCCAGTCAAGCCTTCGGACGCCTCCGAAGCACAGTTTGGAATCGCCACGGTCTCCAACTGAGCACAAAGCTGAAGATGTACAAGGCCGTCATCCTGCCAATGCTACTGTATGGAGCGGAGACTTGGACGGTGTACACGAGGCAGGCATGCCGACTGAACCACTTCCACCTCAGTTGTCTTCGTCACATCCTGAGGCTGAACTGGCAGGATCGAATCCCCAACACGGAAGTACTAGAACGAACGGGAATCCTCAGCATCTACGCCATACTGAGACAAATGCAGCTGCGCTGGAGCGGACATCTGGTGCGCATGAACGACGAGCGACTACCCAAACGACTCTTCTACGGAGACGTCGCGACGGGTTCTCGTCGTCAAGGTGGCCAAATTCGCCGTTACAAGGACACCTTGAAGTCCTCCCTGAAGCGCCTGCAAATCAACCCGACCAACTGGGAAGATCTCGCCCGCGATCGTCCGACATGGAGGAGAACAGTGAAGACGGGCGCTGCTATCTACGAAGCCAACCGCATCGCTGCCGCCAAAGCGAAACGCGAAGCCCGCAAATCACAATCTCGCCCAGTACGCAACGCCGCCGCACAACCTCCCCCTACGTGTCCTCGATGTCAACGGACATTCCGGGCACGAATCGGACTTGTTGGCATTTTCGGATCAACTGCACCTCTCAAACTGCTCCAGCCATCGTCTCCCCGCCCGCCTCTTCCTTGTCCTCTCTGCCGCCAACTAACTCTGACACTCCTTCAGAACCACCACTTCCATCCTCCTCCTCGTCGTCTTCCTCCTCCTCCCTCTCCACTGCCCCAGCGGCGGCCGTTCAGACTGCCGTCTCACACATCACCAACCCCAACACAACAACCGCCACCACCCGCAACTCTCGCGATCCCAGTGCTGAGGATCAGGGCTACACCTGCCCTCACTGCCACCGCACCTTCACCTCTCGCATCGGCCTAGTCGGTCACTTGCGAATCCATCGCACAGAGACTGGCGAACCAGTGCCTGGAGCACCAACCTACACCCACCGCACTCTCCTCCACTGCCCACACTGCCCTCGCACCTTCACTCATCGCATGGGTCTATGCGGCCACATGCGCATCCACGAGAGCGGAATTGACCGCAGCCTTGACACACCCACCGCGCCGAGCCCCACTCCCAATCCTCCACCTTGTGCACCCACTAACCATTCCCCAGCCGACATCGACGCCACCGACCTTACCACCCCTCACTCCTCCCCTTCCGCCTCCACTTCTCCCTTCACTGCCACAACGACGGCCGCTTCGGCGTCTGTCGACCACTAATTCACCACAGCCGAACCTGGCACAACAACAGGCACAAGCCCTGCAACCTCCATCATCAGACGTGAGGGCCAGGACTACATCTGCCCTCACTGCGATCGCACCTTCACTTCACGCATCGGTCTGGTCGGTCACTTGCGAATCCATCGCACAGAGACTGGCGAACCAGTGCCTGGAGCACCAACCTACACCCACCGCACTCGCCTCCACTGCCCACACTGCC